TCTACCCTGCTCCTGAGCTAGACCCAGGAGCCTTTTCCCTAACGTCCCTCCCTCCTCTACCTTCAGTGCTCATCCCCCTATCGCCTGCGGCCCCCTGAACCCCCACTTGCCGATCCCACTACTCAGTACCAGGGCTGCTGATGCCACCTCTGCCTCCCTGGCTCTCCCTTCTCTCTACATCATCAACATAGGCTGGGCACCTGGTGAGGGCTGTGTAAGGGGCACTGTGGGCTCTGGACCCCACTCTTAGGGACTGCCTGGGGACAAAGGTACCTCCCAGGGAAACCACGGGTTCCTCAGTGGTCACAGCAGCAGTAGTTGGCAGGATCATGGGCTCAACCCTCGGGTCAGGGAGACTGGGAGCACTGGGAGGAGGGAGGCCAGCTTGGTGAGGCTGGACCTCAGCCTGCCCTGCTGAAAATGAATTCACAGCCCTGCCCCATTGATCTTTTTTTTTTGAGACAAGGTCTCATTCTGTTGCCCAGGCTGGAGTGCAGTGGTGTGATCTCAGCTCACTTTAACCTCCGCCTCCCAGGTTCAAGTGAGTCTCCTACCTCAGTCTCCTGAGTAGCTAGGATTACAGGCATGTGCCACCGTGCCTGGCTAATTTTTGTATTTTTAATAGAGATGGGGTTTCACCATGTGGGCCAGGATGGTCTCGAACTCCCGACCTCAAGTGAACCACCCGCCTTGGCTGCTCAAAGTGTTGGGATTACAGGCGTGAGTCACAACACCTGGCCTCCCCCATTGATCTTGTAGCAATAATCATTGAGGTTCCAATTATTCAACTGATGTGAAGATGTTCTGTAAACAGTAACGACCCTGGCAAAATGAGGATGTTCACAGGTGAGAGACGAAATCCAGAGAGAAATAATAACAACAATGACTGTAGCCACCGTCCGTTGAGCAGTTGCTCCGGACAGGTCCTGCGCTTGGTGTTTTGCCTGCACCATCCGGCTGGATTCTTACAACACCCCCGTGAGGCAGGTGCTGGCAATGGCTCTTTGTTTCCCATGGGAAAATCAAAGGTCAGAGGTGGCCCAAGGAGACGTGGCTGTCAGAGGTGGAGCCACAGTTCAATTGGAGGGCTGTCTGGCTCCAGAACCCGTATTCTCCACCCCTGCATCAAGGTCACACAATGGTGCACACATTTGTGCACGCATGCATGTATTCACTCATATGTTCAGGAGTTATTGGGGCCAGGCGCAGTGGCTCACACCTGTAATCCCAGCACTTTGGGAGGCTGAGGCGGGTGGATCATTTTAGGTCAGGAGTTCAAAACCAGCCTGCCCAGCATGGTGAAACCCTGTCTCCACTAAAAATACAAAAATTAGGCTAGGTGGCTCACATCTATAATCCCAGCACTTTGGGAGGCCGAGGCAGGCGGATCACCTGAAGACAAGAGTTCTAGACCAGCCTGGCCAATGTGATGAAACCCCATCTCTACTCAAAATACAAAAATTAGCCGGGCGTAGTGGTACACACTTACAATCTCAGCTACTCAGGAGGCTGAGGCAGGAGAATCCCTCGAAAACGGAAGGCAGAAGTTGCAGTGAGCCAAGATTGCGCTGCTATACTCCAGCCTGGGTGACAGGAATGAAACTCTGTCTCAAAAAAAACAAACAAAACAAAACAAAAACAACTCTACTTTAAAATACAAAAACTTGCAAATTAGCTGGACGTGGTGGCAAGCGCCTGTAATCCCAGATACTTGGGAGTCTGAGGCAAAAAACAGAAAATAAACAAAAAGAGTGATGTGGTGTAATCCAGGCCCTGGGTCAGCTGCTGCGACTCTGTGTGTTCAGGTGAGCTCCTGCGTCCAAGAAAGGTGTGTCTACCAGGGAGTGGGGAGGACCACCCTCTGCACTCCAGGGTGCTGTGCAAGATGCTGGCCAGGGACAGATCCAGGACTGAACCCTGGGTTTCCTGGACCCCAGATATCTCCACCACGTCCTCAAATGAACATCCCTCGCAGGCCTGAGGTCTGCAGCCTGGCTGTTTGAATTAAAAGTTGGAAGCTCCATGGACTGAGTCCTCTAGAAGAGGCAGAGGCTGACAGGAGTATTTTGTTGTCATGAACTCAAGGATTGTTGGAATATGACATGAGTTACAGTGGCACTCTGCCATGCCCCTAAAATCCCTCCAAGAACTGTCATTGCCCACAGGATAATGATCAAACTCTTTTTTTTTTTTTTTTTGAGACGGAGCCTCACTCTGTCGTCCA